TAGAACGAGCCATTTTAGGTAGGTGTGGCTGACTTAACTTTTATAAAGAATATCGCTTTGGATTTGAGACTTTAGTCTTTGCAACTTTACAGATCTTCTTTATGCACCAAGAGCTTGTAACACTCCAAAGAGAAAGGAAAAATTGAAATCGCATCATATGACCCCTTTAAATAAACATTTTAAATGGACCATTTTTAACTTCCTTAATACACATTCCCAATTTTATTGTGTTCAATGTATCAATTGGACATGGTATTTTACTATAAAACAAGACAAATATAGATATAATTTTACATGGGATAAATTGAACATTTTATACACTTGTGAAAACAGAAGCACACTGAAGTTGATTTGAGTCAAATTACCAGTGTAAACTAGTGATATACCAACTCTGTTTAGTTTCAGCACTTAGTCTCTGTAACAGAAGGGATGAGAAAGTGGATTCGATTTCCTTTCTGTGTACAGTGATTGTGCTGCTGGCTCAGAGTCTTTCACATTAGCGGGGTCATTATGTAACCTGTCTGCCTTGATCAGTTCAATTCGCATTTGTGAGCATCTGTGTTTGTGTGTGCCAGCCGTACATGCGTAAAACAAACAGATTAGTGACCTCAAACAGATGCCTACTGTTGGTGTGTCCCACCAGAACTGTGTTCGCTACTATATTTTCCCGTTGAAATGTTAGATGTGCAGTGCACATTAGAAACCTCAGTATAACAGTGATCATAATCTGTGCAATTTATGTTGTCAATCTTTAAAAATGTACTTTTAGAGCCGCAGCTTCTAGAAACTAGTCTTGCTTGCTTATGACACCATGTCGAGATCTCTTATCTCTTTGACTTACTGAAAAGGCCTCATGTTTCTCAAAATACATGCAATGGCAATTCGATCATAATGTTATCTGCAGTGTGTCTGATGTAAATAAAGGGCAAGCCTGCTCCTGTAGCGGACCGGTTTTGTTAGAACAAATTATGCCCAAAGGAATATGTATGTGCATCGAGAAGCGAAACAAAACTCTTTGGGGGGCCGTCAGCATGCAGACAGTATAAATCTTGAGAGAACTGCACTGGAATTCCTTCCTGCTCTTTAAAGCAGCCCAATATAAAGCCGTATGAGGTCATTCATCTTCAAAAGGCCTTGCAGGAGAGACAGAAATTCAAACGTTTTTGAAATGAAGTCAGCTAAAAAGGCCTTCCTCATTCTCATGCTCTGCTAGCAAGTTTAGTTAATCTTTATCTTTGTTCCAAAACCTACTGAGCTGCCTACTGCCTATATAGACAGCTGCTTTCTAAGGGAGCATCCTGTACTTTACCGAACTTTATGCATGACATAGTAACAAGTCAAACTGCATGGCACATAAATAACTAGATTTCAGTGAAGAATGTTAGCATGTTGCTGAGCTAACAACGTGATACTCTATATGATCATAAAAATGCATAGCACAAAATAGTGAATAAAATATATATTTTTAGTTTTTAACCAATATATTGTGTATTAAATAAACATAAGTTTGATATTAACATGTTGCTTAGCTAACAGTGTGGTACTGTATCAGGGTTATTAAAATTAAACTAAAACTAAATAAACTAAAACAATTAGTTAATTAGATTAAATGTATTAAATAAAAAAAATTGACATTAGCATGTTGCTAAGCTAACAGTGTGGTATTTTATCAGGATTATTATATTAAAACTAAAAAAAATTATGGTTTTACCTTTTTTATTTCTTTTTTATTTTAAAATGTTAAAACATTTTCAGTTAATTAAAAAAAATGATAAAGTTAGTTTAACTATAAAAATACTACAACTGAAAAAAAAAACATACAGACATTAAAAACTCAAACAAACATATTATATATACTGGATAGAAAAATTATATATGATATGATTTGATTTTATGCATTTTATCTTTGTTTTGTTTTTTTTTGTTTAGTTTTTTTCTGTGTAGGCTTGTATGATGGAAAATCATGACAACAATATTTCAAATTTTTTTTGTGAACTACCCTTTTAAGTTTTGGAAAAATAAATAAAACATATATA